GGTTTTGCTTCTAAAAAAAAATTCATTCAATCAAAACATAGTCTCAGAATGATCAGTTTTAACTTAGAAACTATCAAGACTTATCAAGTTTGGTCGTTTTTTATTTTTAGAACAAAACCTAAACCTAGTTGGATTAGGAATTTCAAAACTAGGGTTTCAAACAATTCATCAATTTTGACTCATGAAAGATATGATCTTAACAATTTTTTTCGCAGTGTCATAAACTATCAGGGAGTTCATACAAATATGCTAGATTAGGGTTAGGTCGAAATTTTATCAATCCTACAATTTATGCAAAATCAGATCTAGCAATTCATTTGTATTAGGGTTTTAGCAAACTATCAATTTGATTCAATCAACCTATGAATCTAGCATTCGACCTTAGTGTCATAAGCAATAAGATAGTTCATATTAACATGCTAAAACAGATTTAAAACACGAAAATATCAAAGTTATAGCTAGGGTTTTATGCAAATCAGTTTTAGTGTTCATGCGCAGATTAGGGTTTAGGCAAAACAACTTTCTAAACCTCAGATCTAAATAATTCAATGATCAAACAAACATATAGTCTCAGGGTGATCAATTTTAATAAATTTTTATCAGATCTACTGCAGCAAGAACAATTAAAATCAATCAAAGAACAAGATCTATGAAAAATCGGATCTAGAGAGAGAAGCAAACAAAACAGTTTTTATGCTTTTACTATCTAGGGTTTTCATTATCAATTTGATCAAACTCAAAGCCACGAAATCTATCAGTATGAATTCCTAAGAGATTCAACATAAATATCATGATAAAAATAAGCAAGCAAACGATTTTAGCAAGCATAGATTTCGGGATCAATTGATTAGGGTTTTAGGTTAACTTTTTGTTCATGAATACAAGTTTGTATCCATGCACATAAGTTAGGCTTTAAGGGGATCCATTGTGGTTTTCAAACTTACCAAAACATCATAGATCAAGGGGGGTCAAAACTTATGTTCTAAAGTTTAAGTTTCATACCTCAAACCTCATTGGATCTGAATGGACCTCCTTAGGGCAAACCGGTTTGGATCTTAAGAGAGAGAGGTCGGATTGCTTTAAATCTTAAGCAAGGGATTACACCTGCAAAAGAAGAGTTAGCAACATTTTTCTTCTTCAAAATAACGTAACAAATTGATGAAGAAGTAAGGAGTAAGGCGGCTGGTTTGATGGCTGAGTAAAGGGAAAATCGCTAGGGTTTCCCGGATTGAAATTAGCATGCCGTCTTGTTTTGGTGATTGCGGATGCGTCCGGTGTCGGATTGATGCGCTGTTTGAACTGACGGATTCTTCTCTTCAAGAGATATAGATTGATAGGTGGATCGTCGTCTGGAGCTTCGTGGTTTGAGAGATAGAGCGTTTTGAAGTAGCACCGGAATTAACACGAATCTTTAACCCTAAGCAAAATCCTAATTTCGGCGCTACTTCAAAACGCTCTATCTCTTAAACCACGAAGCTCCGGACGACGATCCACATATCAATCTGTAGCTCTTGAATAGAAGAATCCATCAGTTCAAACAGCGCATCAATCCGACACCGGACGCATCCGCAATCACCAAAACAAGACGGCAGGCTAATTTCAATCCGAGAAACCCTAGCGTTTTCCCCTTCACTCAGCCATCAAACCAGCCGCCTTACACCTTACTTCTTCCTCAATTTGTTATGTTATTTTAATAACTTGTGTGTTTCATTAATCTCAAACGTCCCATATATATATGGGTACACAAACCGCCTGTAAGGCTGGCGATAAACATAACTAGATAAGGATTACAAGTAAAGAGATAATCCTAAACCTATATGGTTTAGGATAACTACTACAATAAGGATAAATACAAGGGTGGATAATGACTAGTCTTGGCCGCCTGGTATGGATAAGGTTGGACGTGTGGGACTGATGTGGAACATGATGGTCCATTTCCCGGATATGTCCCAACCACCATTTCCATTTCTTAACATTCATAGTTATTTTTGGAGTTAAGACTTGGACGACCTACTTTACCTTTGGTATATTTTCCTGATTTCATTCCTAAATATATGCTTTTTAAATTTCTAAGCATGATGCTGCAGATGACATTTTATGTCGGACCTTTGTTAATCTCGAGTTTAGCCTTATATGGTGTTTATTGTAAGTTGAGTAGTTATCTCACTTCTAGCGTTTAGCGGATCATAATACTTGACAGTGCATATAATGAGAGTGTACAAATGTTTTCTGTTTGCATAGACTCATAAACGTCTGAGTTCCAACGAAATTACATGTTTTGAAATCTCATATTGGTATCTTGATAGCACTCTAAAGAGTGTTTTGGTTTGTTTCTTTCGTTTTCGAAATTAATATATCTAAAAGAAATATAAAAAAAATTTACTTGACAGGAATGAAGATGAACAAAGAGAGAAAAACAAATAAAATAAAATTTTACAAAATATTTTAAACATATTTATATAGATTTGATTAAAATAAAAGTCATTTTAATTTAATTTGATTAATTATAACATTTCAAAAAGTTCATTTATTTTATAGTCATCAGTTACTCTATAATTATGTTCACAAAAAATCACATTCATTCTTCAAAAAAATTCATTTCCTATTTTTATTCATTTAATTTACTTTTCTTTCTTTTGATTGTATGATCCTTAATATTCTTGATTTTTATGGCGTCCGATTCTCTTTCATTTTTTTAGAATCTCCATATAAAGATAACACATGAACATACTTTAACAACCATGTCAACCAGTGACGTGTAATATTCCCATTTTGGAGCCTATGGGAGTGTTCTAGTCAATTGTGAATCTTATTAAACTTTGACAAAACTTCACCTGTAACTTCAATTTACTTTGTTTTGTTAATAAATTTATAAATTAGTAAAGATCTATTATCATTTGATTTTTTTGACATTTTCAAGTTAATGGCCAATAAAAATACAATATTTTGATTTTTAGTATTTCATCAAATGTAGTTAGATTTAATTTAAAAATCTGTAAGTTTTTCTTTACACTAAAACTAGTAATTTATGGTGAGAGTATCTTGCCATTTAACTTACTGAAATTAGTTGTTTACTTTTGCTAGAACATGACACGTATATGAGAAAAATTATCTTCCATAAAAGCAGTAAAATCATTGACATTGTTCAAATTAATAACTAATAAATTATTTGCAGTATAAAAATACTTTGAAATTTTATATGATATTTTGAATTTTTCATGATCTCATAAGAAAATATATATATATATATATATATTATTAAGTAGATTCTACCTCAAAATCCATCAAATATAATAAATTTATACTTTATACTAAAACTAGATCTTTTATTTTTTGTATTGACAGATGAGATTGTCATTTAATTTCTTTCTTCTGTGGTATGCCATGCTAGGATTTGTAGTCTATTTAACAACCTCATGATCATCAGTACAAACACAATTATTGAACAAAAAGAAGATATTCACATCATCAAACAAAGCAGAATTCGTGATTTTGTAGGGAGATTCTCAATTTAAATTATTGTTTTTATCATGGATCACTTACATTTGGATCTTATCGACAATATTCTCTGTAGATTGGATCCTATATCTGTGGTTGTGATGCAATGCACCGATAAATTTCTTCATACATATATATCTGATCCAAAATTTGATTTGTACCGCTTTTCTAGGGTTGGATCTAGTTTGTTTTACATTTCTAGACACACCTAGAGCATCCGCAACCATGGGTCCTTATGGGGATTCCTTGGGAAAATATTAATTTTATAATCAGTAGGTCCTATGAACAGTTAAGGATTCTATCCTTAAAATCCTTATTTAAGGATTGATCCTTACACTATTCGCGGACTCCACTGCCCACGTGGCGGTCCGTGAATGGTCAGTTTTTTTTTAAAGAAAAAATCTGAAATATCCTTATATAATCTGAAATGCCCCTTTTTCTGTTTCCCTAAGGACCCGTGGTTGCGGGTGCTCTTATTACATCTCCTGCCAAATGAATATTCTCAATTTGCATCCATGTCACATTCTCGGCTCATGCTCCGGCCTTCTCCTATTGGACATTGGTGGTTGCGTCTTCGTCACAAATCCCTTCACAAATAGGTGTCGATTTTTGGATCACTCTGGGTCAAAGATTCTCTATGATATAGTTACTTGTGTCAATAGAATAGGGTCCATAAAGCAATGTGCGTCGGTTTCGCGGTCGATAAGATTCAAAATCAGACCAAAAAGAGATTCAAGATCGTTTGCATAGCGAAGATGCAGATGATGTATAGATTCGAGATCAGCGATGGACATTCCTGGAGACTATCGGAAACGACTATCACCGCTAGCTCAGAATGTGACCTAGCGAAGCGAATGAAACCTGTTTACTTGGAAGGCACTCTTCACTGGTTGAGAAACGATGGGAGCATCATAGCTTTTAACCCTGAGACAGAGCAAGCAAGTTTTATTCCTTCTGTGTTCCATCAAGAACCAGAGATGGGACTGTTTTTCGCGTCTGACGATAAGATTAATCGTCTTACTTTGGTATCAGGAACAAAAGAAGAAATCTCAGTTTACACACTAATTGAGACCACCAAGTGGGCCCTCGCAATGAATATCAAGAACGTATTTATGGAGCAATGTGAGCTTGAATTCTGGAACCTGGTTATGTATGATTGCAAGCGACTTGTGGTGAGGGAGAAGAAGAAGAATCTTGAAGGTGTGTTTCATGTGTACAACATGGAAGCTAACAGTTGGGGAGTCTTGGGGTCAAACTTTTGGTCGAGCAAAAGTGTCATAGACTTCTATAAGCTTACACCCTCCTTGTCCTTTGTCGAGGAAGATGAACTGAAGGATACTATACCTTCTTATGAACCACAAGCCTGTTATTTAACTGTGGTTATGACATCCATTGACAGTCCTAGTCCTCTGACATTTGGAGGTCCTTTACAAAATTTAAAATTAGAGCCCTAAATATCTATCCTTTCTAACATATAATTTAAGTACTTTTTCTTGCAAAATCATCAATCACATTTTTATAATCAAAATTTTGATCATGCTTTGTCTTCGGTGTACATTGTATTTTCCAACAAAATGCTTTCAATAAATCAATTGTGACTCCCAAAATTACTGATCTTTTTTCTTTATCCGGGTATATCTGTTCAACTTGGTTTCTAGATTTAATTGTGTATTCTCCATTATTGGTGAAATGACATCCATCCTGATTCTTCATTTGAATTCTGTTAAGTGGTATTATCTCTATAAATAAATAAAAAGAGGATCCATCCGAGTCCGAATTGCATGTATGTTCCAACTTCGTGTATCAAGCATAACCGTGTTAAAATTGTTAGTAGAAGAAGCCATACAACCAAACATCATGTTACTTCTGCATTTTTCTTCTTCTTTATTACGTAGTAAATTATAGATGCTGAATGTTTCTTGTATATAGATCGAGCAACCTTTCTTATATAATAAATGAGAGACCCTAATGAGATATTCACATAAAAAAGAAGATGATTGATATATACAAAGATATGAACATATCTCTATATAAACAACACATTCAAGATTTTCAATCTCTTTTCTTTGTTGTAATCAGATTCGAGCACGAGTAATTAACTAAATACAATTGTTCTAACCTATTTAGAAACGCTTAAACTCTAATAGCTAGGTCTCTTTTAACTTACTCTTCTTTTTTCCGGTTGAGCAGAATTGAACTCAGATTTCTGAAGTTATAGACAGTTTACTAATATATTAATATTTTTAATAAATAAATTTATATTTATAAATATATGAAATTTTAATTTTTTGGGAATTTAAGACTAGTGTGGTTCATTTAACTACGTCCATGAGGATGTATGTCATGGTGAATTTGGGATGGAGAAAAACAAGATACTAACAAGGAAAATTGTCTAACTATATATGTATTAATCTGTTAATATCAAGTTTTCTGCATTTTAAACGTTATCGAGAAGTTTAAAAAATTTATGCACAACTGCATCCAACTGGTTTATGCACAATAACATTTTGAGTCGTCTCAACACAGTAACTACAATGACTCCAATTGATTATCTATGAGGAAAAGTATAACAAAATTTAAAAAATATATAACTCTTTTTGGTAAAAATAAATTAAACTCAAATCTGTTAAAGATACAGACTTAACATCCGGATGGAGGTATAATCCACAGGTATACTCTTTTCTAGACATTCAAATAGACCGAAAAGTAATAATTTATATCTGTGTAGCCAACCGGACCCGAACCAAAGTTCGCCGTATTGTGTTGATTTCCTTCAAGGGACTACCATCACTATTTAAAATATTGTGTTTTTATGCTTTCTGTGATATAAAAGTATTGTGTTCTTTTTATATATTGAGTGAGTAAAATCACAAGTAGTTTATTCATTAATGTTTGCAGAATTTATCTCATTCCGCAAAACTTTTTTATTCTTCAAGCTATTACAGAGTATTATTAATTTAACAATCGTCGTTGATAAATATTGATAAGGGAACTATGCGATAATGGGACAGAAAATGATGGAGTAATTAGCATTGGCACAAGTAAAAGTGCTTGTAGCATCGTCGTATGCGTAGCTATACGCTTTGGGGCAAGCTGTTTTAAAGATCTTCGAGTNTCCCCCCGTTAGGATTAGGAACCCTTAGCTCGTTGGGACAAATCACGTTCAGGTCTGAAACGCATCCCACGTTTTGACAATCGCCTGAGCCGCCTTGCGTCTTGATTTCCATCTGCACGTTGTAACCATCGACCAGGCTTACGTCGTAAAAGTCCATCGCGCCACCATGACCGATTGTGAATTCTGCGAGTGTAGCTGGTGGAACTCCTCCTGCACCGGAGCATTGTAATTTGCCACAGTCTCCGGTGAGGCATTTTCCGTTGCCGAACGCGTCGAAATTGCAGCCGGTTCGGCCCCAGATTCGTCCGGACCAGCCGGCAGGAGCGGTTACCCCAACAGAAGCTCCTGGGGTTAAGGCGAATCCGCCGCCGTTGAGTTGTGGAAGGTTGTCTCCGGTGAGGATTCCAGGCCAAACGGTGAAGCTGCATTTGTTCACTATGGTAAATACTGTACCAGAGACTACGGAAATTGCACCTTGCAAATTAAACAATCCAAACAACTGTTTATGAGTGCAATATTAATCGTAAGAAAAATGATATATTTGAAATGTTTGCAGAGAAGAGATCAATGTATGCATGCATGTTTATACCTGTAGCTATGATGAAGGAGAGGAAGAGGAGGTTTAAACCGGAGAAATTTGCCATTTTTAATCTCAAGTTTCGATCTAATTAATGTGTATTGATGAATGAAAGTTTGTGTCACAGATGTTTCTATTTATAGATTTTCTGTGGACAGTTGCTGGCACTTCCTGACCTAAATTGTCCGCCAAGGTGCAGATAAAATTTATTTTCCATGTTTTACAAATTCAAGTAGATTAGAGAGACTTGACAATGTGTTTGAATACAATGTATTCCAGTCCGTAGCACAGTTTAGGGCTGCACAAGTTATCTATTGACTTAACATTCCTACAAAAAAAAAGGCAAATTGCAAATATTATTTTTGTGAAGGTAAGATTTTCATCCTGATTTACTAACAATACATATCATCATATCATAATTATTTATTTCTTATAAGTAAAAGGGTAAAAAAACATGCATGATAACATATATATAACTATATGATAAATAATAAAATAGAGTTTTAAGTAAAATCTTATAATTGTTTTTTTTCAAATTCGAAACACTAATTAATTTCTGTTCAACGTTTTATTATTTCTTTATCTATATTTGTTTATTCTTTTTGGAAAATCTAATTGATTTCCAACTTGATTATTAATATCCCAAATTGAGAAATTGAAAAGGATAGACCGCTTTAATAAATCATATAGATTAAGAAGACTTGACAATGTATTGAATACATGGTATTATTGACCGTGACATAGTTTAGGGCTGCAAAAGTATGCTATTTGATTTAAGAAATTCAAATATCCAATAGAAATAATAGCAAAACAGTTCTCAAAATATAGTATCCATTTAAAATATATGATAAATACTCATTTTAGAATTGTTGAATATCTATCTCAGTCAACTACTAATAAATTACAAGTAGATTATTTATATTTTTCCTTACAAGTAGACTATTAATAAAGTATTGTTGAGTGTTGTTTCATCTTGCTTCTGTTGTTTAGCTAATGACCCTGAAACAAAGAAATATGACTCTCTATAATTGGAACTATATCTTTTGATCCGATCTATATCAAAGAGGTGAACTTATTTCTACAACTATATATTAAGTTGAAAATCAATTAGATTTTCCATATAGATAAAGAAACCTAATGACCCTGTGATCGTTCTCTGGGAGCTTTTACACAATAAACTTCATTTTGAGGGAATGTCCAATCTCCAAGCTGCATATGCAGCCGCCTTTAAAGTGTGTAACACTTCCTCTTTTTTTTTCTTTGCTAGTCTTGGCATAACGTTACTATTTTTGTTTTGACATATCTTTTTTTACAGAATGTGAGGCCAAGTGCAGAGAGCTTACCGGAGGATTTGGGAGTCATTGTAACATCATGCTGGAATGAGGATCCGAATGCTCGGCCAAACTTCACTCAGATCATTCAGTTACTACTTAACTATCTCTCCAAAGTTGGATCTCCAGCTTTATCTGCGATTCCACAAAGGCTTCTAGCGTAAGATTCCATACAATGTTGAGATTCACATAGCTTTGCAATCGTTCTCTGGGAGCTTTTACACAAAGTCCATTTTGATATGACTTAAAGTCCATTTTGAAAGACTTTGCACATGAGAGTAAGACAGAGAGTGAATGTAATAATAAAAAAAATGAGAGACCCTAATGAGATATTCACATACAAAAGTAGATGATTGATATATACAAAGATATGGTGAAGATATGAGCTAGCATATCTCTATATAAACAACACAATCAAGATTTTCAATCTCTTTTCTTTTCTGTAATCAGATTGTAGCACGAGTCATTAACTAAATACACTTGTTCTAACCTATTTTGAAATGCTAAAACTCTAATAGGTCGTTTCTTTTATCTTACTCTTCTTTTTCCCGTTTGAGCAGAATTGAAATCAGATTTCTGAAGTCATAGACAAATTACTGAAAAATATAATATTTTAAACAAATAATTTATACCTATAAATATAAGAAATTTTACTTTTTGGGAATTTAAGAGTAATGTGGTTCATTTAACTACGTCCATGAGGCTTTGCAATTTAGTTTTAATAACGTATACAAACAAGAATTCCCATTTATAGACGACGATAAGGATATTGGCCAAGAGAGGATGTATGTCATGATGAAGTTGGGACGGAGAAAAATAAGATACTAACAAGGAAAATTCTCTTACTATATATGTATTAATCTGTTGATTGTTCATTTTAAACGTTATTGAGAAGTTCAAAAAAATCATGCACAGCTACATCCAATTGGTTCGTGCACAGTAACACTTTGAGTCGTCTCAGCACAACAACTACAATTACTTTTATTGATTGTGTACGAGGAAAAGTACAAGTAAGTTCAAAAAATATAGTTATGTTTTTGTGTATATAAAAATACTAGATATTTTGTCCGCTTGCGCGAGCTGAATAATTTTTATCAATAAATATATGATTAATTCAAATACTATTAAATTTTAATTATTATTCATACATTCAAAATATTTAACAATAGATTAAAAACAACTTTTTATATATAAAAAGTTTTCATTATGATATAAATATTTTTATTCCGTAATTCAACTTGAAAACATTTATGTAGAATCAGAAATACAAAAAAAAAGAATAAAACCAAAAAATGCCAACTAATAATGCGCTAATAAATTAAATATAAAAATTTATATTCAGAATTTTAGTATAATAATATTATATTTTATTCCGTGAATTAAATTTGAAAATAGTCATATATAGATAAAATTAGGGAAAAAAGTTCATAT